CACGTCTCAATCCACCTCGAGGGCCTTCCTCTTTGTCACTGTCCTTCCACTTGACCAAGCATCTGTCCTTTTCTAAGGACATGTCTTTTTCTCTCCTGACAGGATGCTCAAAGTATGTAAGACGAAGTCTTGCCATTCTTACTTGTGAAGAACACGCTGGCCTTACTTCTTCCAAGACAGATCCGTTTGTCCTTTTTAGAAGTCCATGGTATTTTCAGTACTCCTCACCAGAACCACAATTCAAATGCACCCATTCTTCTTCGGTCCCCCTTCCTTACTCAGTGTCCAATTTTCACAAGCATATGAGGCAATGGAAAATAGCCTGGTTTGGGTCAGGTGCACCTTAACTTTTCAAAACAACCTCCTTGCTTTTTAATACTCTAAGGAGGTTTTGTACAGCAGATTTACCTAATACAACAGGCTTGCTTTTGATTTCTTGACTGCTGTTTCCACGAGCACTGACTATGGAACCAAGCAAGACAAAAATCCTTGACTACTTCAATCTTTTCTTCATTTACCAGGATGCTACCTAATGGTTCAATGGTGAGGGTTTTGCTCATCTTTACAATGAGTCAAAACCCATACTGAAGCCTGCAATACTTGATCTTCATCAGCAAGTGCTTCAAGTCCTCCTCACTTTCAGCAAGCAAGGTTGTGTCATCTGCATATGCAGGTTGTTGATAAGCCTGCCTCCAATCCTGATGCCTCACTCTTCTCCATGTAATCCAGCTTCTCGGATGATGTGCTCAGCAGACAGACTGAACAAGTATGGTGAGAGGAAACAAGTCCAACACACACCTTTCCTGCTTTTAAACCTGGGAGCATTATCTTGTTCTGTTCACACAACTGCCTCTTGATCCACGTACAAATTTCATCGGAGCACAGTGAAGCCTTCTGGAATTCCCATTCTTCTCAAGGCTGTCCATTGTTTGTTCTAACCCACACAGTCGAAGGCCTTTGTATAGACAATAAAACACACGTTTTTTGGTATTATGAGTACATAGGACATACCATTTCTCCTGGGAGCCCTGGTAGTGTAGGGGTTACTCGTTGGGCTGCAATCCACAAGGTCAGCAGTATGAAACCACCAGCAGCCCCGCAGGGGAAACACTGGGTTTTCTACGACCGTAAGTAGCTACAGTCTCAGAAACCCATAGGAGTCACTATGAGCCAGCACTGACTCGATGGCAGTGTGTTTCTGGTGAGATTTCTCCCAGTAAAATGTCAAAGGAAGAAGCATGGTACATTCGCCGAGCCACAGTGCAATGCAGACGGGTGGCCAGCAACCCCCCCGGGGAGAGCTGTCTGGGAAGTCTTGAAGAGGAAGGGTTATGCTCGGGAAGCAGTACCTAGAGTTTATTATTCACACAGGATTCAAAGCAGTGCCACCCCGAAATTACAGACACGTGTCAGGGCCTCCAGGGCTGTGCAAAAAGAGCCTGAACCTTGAATGCTGGGTCTATAAAAGCGACATGCTCACTGATTCTTCTTGGCCACCTAGCATAGTGCCTAGCACAGCATCTGCTTAGTAAACGTCACACCTTTCGCTGGAAATGTGTAATGCATGCAAAAAACTGACTGAGTGAACAAAATGCCCAGTACAAATGCAGTTGGGGGTCAGTGACTATTTGGGGAGGGGGTGCCAAAGTGGGGGGAGAAGCTGACGGAAGCCAAGAGATTATCAGAAAGATCTTAAATTCCACATTGCAAATTTCTGATGCAGTAAACTCCCAATCTTTCTCCAGGTAACTTTAAAATACACTAGCCCCTCGTGTCCTCCTTTACCAAAAGTCACTGTGGGGATTATTAACAGATGTCTCAAAAAGGAAAGGCAGCCTGGGAGATGAGGGCAGGAACTGAAGGTACCTTGCTGACTGCTGACAGGCTTCTCACCATTGTAAGGTTATAAGGGTCTAATAGGGACCTGATTTTACCTATCAAATAGCTGCCTGCCGCTAACTGGTCATAGCCCAGCCCCTCCCCACATTTAGGAAGGCCCTCTCTACAGAATGAGTGTTTCAGAGATGACACTGGGGACATACAGCCTCGACCACATTAAGTCCAGACACCGGCAACTCCCAGGAACAGAGTTTGGACCTGAACACCTTACCGCGACACCCCCTCCGCCCCCCCCC